CGAGATGAGGAGGAGGAGGAGGAGGAGGAGGAGGACCAGCAGATGAGGAGCGGCGACGGGCTGAAATGAAGGGAGAACGATGAAAAGAGGACGAGGAAGAGGAGAGAGGAGGGCAGGCAGAAGGTAGGAAGGGAGGAGGAGTGATGGAAGAATAACGGGGGAGGAGGCGAAGGAGGATGAGGATGGTGGTCAGAAGTACCAGCAAGAGGAGGTGGAGGAGGTGGAGGAGGAGGAGGGGGAGGACGACGACGACGATGAGAAGGAAATCAGCAGCACGAGGGGGAGGGGGATGTGAAGGTGGAGGACGAGAGTGAGGGAGACAGGCGGGTATGTGCACGGGGGGGGAGAAGGAGACAAAGTTGGAGGGGGATATGGAGGGAGTGTTTGAACGGGGATGGGAGGAGCAGAAGGAGGAGGAAAGGAGGATGGACGATGAAAGACAGTGGCGGTGCCACGAAGAAGAGGCCAGAGGGACTGAAAGAGAGGTAGGAGGAGAAAGAGCAGCAGCGCGTGGAGGTACTCGGAGATCTGTCTTTCCCACGCGTCATGTTTCCATTGGTGTTGTAAGTGTGCTCGGTGAGTTTCGTTGATGCCATAGCTCATCATATCCAGTTGTGTACGGCGAGTCCCGCCACCGTGCAAGCCCTGCACGAGGGGCGGAAGCTGCTCATGGGGAGCACAGGAAGCCGTAGTAACGTGTGACACCTCGTGTTCCGAGGCTTGGGGGAGGGCTGTAACATGTGGTATGCGCTTCCGCGTCGCGTCGGGGCGTCTCTACACGTGTTCGTCGAATTCTTCCTTTCTTCTTTCCCCTCATGTCTAGGCCTCCTAGATGGGGTCCGAGTAGGTGGGGTCGGAGGATCGCGCCGCATCGCCGATGCTTCGACGGTGCGGCTCGATGTGGAGCCCGTGCTTCCGCACACGGACGTCGCAAATGCATCGCTGATCTCGCCTGTGCATCGCAGACACATCGGCATTGCATTGGAGATGCGGCGCGATCCTTCGATCCCATTTACAAGGACCCCATCCAGGAAGCCTCTGTCATGGGGCCTCTTCGGTTCAGGAGGGAAAGAAACACACAGACACACGTAATCGCCGATTCCCCGGAAAATTTCGGAAACTATGGGAAGTTGGGGGGAAGACGAAAACCCGAAACATACGGGGAGACTATTTTTATGTGTGTGTATTTATTTGTGTGTGCATGGGCCCCTTCATTGGTGCCTGCTAGAGGCATCTTGGGGGGGCGACGTGGGGGCCTCCTGAGGGCTCCTTGGGCCGCCGCAGGGCGCCCGTGTCCATCTGTGAGGCCTTTCTGGGCCGTCTTAGAGCTCGCGTGGGGCCTAGTAGTATTCGTAGTAATCGTAGTGGCAGTAGTAGTAGTAGTAGTAGTAGTAGAAGAAGAAGAAGAAGTATAAGTAGTAGTAGAAATAGTAGTAGTAGTAGTAGTAGTAGTAGTAGTAGTAGTAGTAGTAGTAGTAGTAGTAGTAGTAGTAGTAGTAGTAGTAGTAGTAGTAGTAGTATAGCAAGTAGTGTAGGTAGAGTAAGTAAAGTAGTAGTAGTATGTAGTAGTAGTAGTCGTAGTAGTAGTAGTAGTAGTCGTAAGTATCGTAGTATAGTAGTAAGTCATAGTCGTAGTATTAGTAGCGTAGTAGTAGTAGTAGTAGTAGTCAAGTATAGTAGTAGTAGTAGTCGTAGTATAGTAGAAGTAAAAGTAGTAGTAGTAGTTACTAGTAGTAGTAGTAGTAGTAGTAGTATAGATATTTATAAGTAGTAGTGGTGGTGGTGGTGGTGGTGGTAGTAGTAGTAGTAGTAGTCAGTAGCAGTAGTAGTAGTAGTAGTAGTAGTAGTAGTATAGTGAGTAGTAGTAGTAGTAGTAATAGCAGAAGCAGCAGTAGTAGTAGTAGTAGCAGTAGTAGTAGCATTAGTAGTAGTAGTAGTAGTAGTAGTAGTAGTAGTAGTAGCAGTAGCAGTAGTAGTACTAGTCGTAGTAGTAGCAGTAGTAGTAGTAGTAGTAGTACTGATGGTAGTAGTAGTCGTAGTCGTAGTCGTAGTGGTAGTCGTAGTCGTAATCGTAGTCCTAGTAGTCGTAATAGTAGTAACAGTAGTAGTAGTAGTAGTAGTAGTAGTAGTAGTAGTAGTAGTAGTAGTAGTCGTAGTAGGTAGTAGTCGTAGTAGTAGCAGCAGCAGTAGTAGAGTAGTAGTAGTAGTCGTAGTAGTCGTAGTAGTCGTAGTAGTCGTAGTAGTCGTAGTCGTAGTCGTAGTCGTAGTCGTAGTCGTAGTAGTCGTAGTCGTCGTAGTCGTAGTCGTAGTAGTAGTAGTAGTAGTAGTAGTAGTAGTAGTAGTAGTAAGTAGTAGTAGTAGTAGTAGTCGTAGTAGTAGTAGTAGTAGTAGTAGTAGTAGTAGTAGTAGTAGGTAGTAGTAGTATAGTAGTAGTAGTAGTAGTAGTAGTAGTAGTAGTAGTAGTAGTAGTAGTAGTAGTAGTAGTAGTAGTAGTAGTAGTAGTAGTAGTAGTAGTAGTAGTAGTAGTAGTAGTAGTAGTAGTAGTAGTAGTAGTAGTAGTAGTAGTAGTAGTAGTAGTAGTAGTAGTAGTAGTAGTAGTAGTTGTATGCAGTTGGGAGTATCGCCGTTGTGGGTATCGCTGTCGGTGGATCTCTTCATGGGGCCACGAACCGTGTGAAGGGTGTGCCGAAATAGGGCGGGCACGCATGCGGGCGCAGCCATAGGGGCCTTTAGTGGCGCTGCATATGGGGCCACGAAACGTGGGAGGGTGTGCCGAAAGGAGGCGGGGCCGCCATGCGAACGTCGCCACTGGGGCCTTCGGTTGACATCCCTACGGGGCCACGAAACGTTGTACTGGGCTGGGGGGACGCATGCGAACACCGCCGCTAAGCCCTTCGGTGGAGCTCCGTATGGGGCCACGAAGCGCCGTACTGGGTGGGGGAGACGCATGCGAACGGTGGACCTCCTATGGTGGCACGAAGCGCTGTGCTGGGTGGGGGAGACGTATGCGAACGCAGCCACTGAAGCCTTCGGTGGAGCTCACTGCCGGGCCACGAAGCGCTGTGCTGGGCGGGGGAGACGCATGCGGACGCCGCCACTGAAGCCTTCGGTGGAGCTCCCTGTCGGGCCACGAAATGTTGTGCTGTGTGGGGGAGACGCATGCGAACGCTGCCACTGAGGCCTTCGGTGGAGCTTCGCATGGGGGCACGAAGCGATGTGCCCGTTGGAAACGCATGCGAACACTGCCACTGGGGCCTTCGGTGGAGCTCTTTGTGGGGCCACGAAGCGCTGTACTGGGCGGAGGAAACGCGTGTGAACACCGCCATTGAGGCCTTCGGTGGAGCTCCTTGTGGGGCAACGAAACGTTGTACTTGGTGGGGGACGCATCGGGCACCGCCACTGGGGCCTTCGGTGGAGCTCCCGATGGGCCACGAAGCGCCGTACTGAGTGGGGGAAACGCATGCGAACACCGCCACTGAGGCCTTCGGTGGAGCTCCCTAAGGGGCCACGAAACGTGTGAGGGGTGTGCCAAAGTGGAGGGGGGACGGCATGCGAACGCCGCCACTGAGGCCTTCGGTGGAGCTCTCTATGGGGCCACTAAACGTGTGAGGGGTGTGCCAAAATGGAGGGGGGCGGCATGCGAATCATGCCATTGGCCTTCGGTGGGGTTCCCTATGGCGCCAGGAAGCTTTTGAGGGGTGTGCCAAAGTGAAGGGGGGGCGGAATGCGACTCATGCCACTGGGGCCTTCGGTGGAGCTCCCTATGAGGCCATGGATCGTGTGAGGGGTGTGCCCAAGTGAGGGGGGTGACGGGAGGAGGAGGAGGAGGAGGAGGAGGAGGAGGAGGAGGAGGAGGAGGAGGAGGAGGAGGAGGAGGAGGAGGAGAGGAGGAGGAGTGAGGAGAGGAGAGGAGAGGAGAGGGAGGAGAGGAGAGGAGAGGAGAGGAGAGGGAGAGGAGATGAGAGGAGAGGAGAGGAAGAAGAGAGGAGAGAGAGGATAGGAGGAGAGGAGAGGAGAGGAGGAGGACGCATGACACCATCTCTTCAAAACGAGGACCCAACACCATAGTATGGTTGGGAAAAACATGAGTTAAGCATATTCAGGCAATCCTGCAGATCCTCTTGCGCCGTATCGGTGGCAGGAGGGGTCCGTCGCAGTGCTGCAGAAGCCCTGCCTACCAGACGGCGTGTGGCATGCAGCCACGCCTCAACGTGTCAGGGTGGACGGCGGACAACATCAGCCAGTTGTTTGCTGCGACATGTCGTGGGGACTTGTGCTTAGCGTGTCGCGCCGCCCAGGTCCTGGTCCACCACCCTTCGGCGCGACACGCGAACCACCTCCCGGCCCCCAAGCATCAACGGGCCGAGCCGTCCCCGGCCTCCCGCCCCGCGGAGCGGAGCGACACGCTGCCAGTTTGCAGGGCATGGCGTGTCGCAGGGGCAGCTGCCGCGACACGCGGAGCAGAAGTTACCGATCGTAGGAAACAGACGCGCGATGTCCTGTTTTGTGCGTTACGAAGTCCCCGGAAGTCAACCCTCCCAAACCTTCCCAAAGCCTCCCAAACGCTCCCAAACCGTCCCAGACCCTCCCAGACCCTCCCAGACCATCCCTGGCCTGGCCCCCCCCCCTCACCCCCCCCCACCACCCCTCAGCCCCTCACCCCCACCACCCCTCACCCCCCCCCAAACCCTCCCAAACCCTCCAACCCCTCCCAAACCCTTTCCCAGGGCCGGTCTTTCGTCCCCAGGGCCGGCTTCTCATCCCCAGGGCCACCACACTTCGGCGCGACACGCTCTAGCTGCGCCGCGGTCCCCGCGCGTCAGCGTCCCGAGGTCCGTGTGCAGGGCACAGCGAGTCGCCAGGGCCGCCGCCGCGAGACGCTGGGCAGAAGTTCTTGGCCGAGTTCCTCCTCACCGCCATCATGCTTCTTCAGCAGCGGTTCGGGCCCAAGTCTCCCCTTGCCCGAACAGTTGCGGGAGCTCCCCGGCCCGCCCCGACAGGCCCGGCGGGAGGCGATGGCGACGCAGTTCACGCCGCAGCAGCTGACGGGCGGCCCCAAGTACAGCCACAAGGTCAAGATCGGCAACTGGAGCGAGGACCTCGAGCTCGAGGAGATCAAGCTCAAGGATTACCTGTCGAAGAAGGACACTGGGTCCCTCATCTGGAAGGAGGGAAACTGCATAAACATAGACTTTCGGAGCTCCGCGCGGATTTCTTGGATCAGCGCCAGACCCCCGTGGCGGCGCCTCTGGCGCCGCCCCTGGCGCGCTTCGCGCGCAGGGGAAAGGTGTCCAGCGCAGATCCAAGAAGTCCTCACGGACCTCCGAAAGTCCGTGAGTGTGCCATGTTTTCCTTCCTCCGCCATCGTGACTGCGAAGCAGAAGCAGCTGGAGAGCTCCCTGGTGCCGGTGGAGCTGACGCCCTCACCCGAGGGTTGCCTGCAGTTCGGCATGAGGGTCATGCTGTACAACCACCAGACAGCAGGGGTGCTGGGCGCCAACCCCTTCGACGCAGCGGCGAAGGCATACGGTGCCTGGATGGCGACAACGTGCCCAATGACCGACCCCGTCGTGCGGAACGTCTTCGAGCTTGAGAGCACGGACGGCTCAGACGGCGTGGTCCTCTACGGGCAGACCATCCGACTGAAGCTGCATCCGTTCGCAAAGATCACTTCCCCTGCCTACCTGCAGAGCGAGATGGTGACCCCAGTGTCGGCCGCCAAGTTCTCCAGGTATCAAGAGGTGTTGGTTATATCCGAGCCGGCGGGGGACACCAAGTGGCAGATCCACCACCCCGACCCAGACCTTCGCGCCGAGATGGAGGGAGAGGCTGTCCCTGCCGGCAAGCCAGTGCTCATCAGACACGTGCAGACAGGAACCTACCTTGCCTCCGACAAGATCCCCTACAAGAACCTGTTCGGGCCAGAGTGCGAGGTCCACTGCCACTCGCACGCGCCGCTCTCGAAGGGCGGCGTGCTGGCGGGCGAGGCCAAGGGCGAGACAGAGAACAGCATCAAGCCCATGGGATTGCCCAACACGTGGACGATCGTGACGTCGACGAGCGGTGTTGAGGAAGGGGGTCCTGGCCTCGATCTCACCGGGCTGCCAGCTTGAAGGTGGGCTGTAGGCCCACATGTAAGGCGGCAGGCCCGTGTGCGCGCCAGGCTGGCTCGCCTGTCGCGCGGGGTACCCGGGGCTTTGGGCTGCATTATGGCTGCCCTCCTCCCGGTGTCTGCCATCAGGGCATCCTCGCCGTCCTGGGCAAGGGACTGGAATTCGCGGACTGTCGCTGCCTGGGCTGCGCTGGAAGAATATCTCCTCCTCCTCCTCCTCCTCCTCCTCCTCCTCCTCCTCCTCCTCCTCCTCCGCCTCCTCCTCCTCCTCCTCCTCCCCCTTCTCCTCGTCTTCCTCCTCCTCGTCCTCCTCCTCTTCCTCCTCCTCCTTCTCCTTCCACTTCCCCTCCTCCTCTGATCTCTCTCCCGCCCGGTCCGTTAGTGGCAATTGGTGCCTGAGGACCATTCCTCCCCGGCCTTTGCCAGGGAAGGAGGTCGGAAGATGAGATCGCATTTAGCAAGACACTTGAGTGGGAGACGCACGGGAACGAAATCGCGGCGGGACGACCGAGGAGCAGGGCGACATCAAGCAGGAAGAGGAAGGATAGAGAGAGGGAAGGAACTGCTTCGCTGGGCTGCCCATCGTACCCAAACAGGCCTGCAAGAGGTGAGGGAGGCAGTCTGGCTGGAGCACCTCTCGCTCCCCCTCGTCCCGCTCCCGCTTCCCCGCCCCCTTGTTCTCATCATCCTGCTGTTCTCCCTGGGTAAATCTAAATGGTTTCGCCCTCTGCCGCTGACTGGCCCCCTTAGAATTCCGTAGGTCTCTGGTGAACTCTTGACGCTTTGCACATCACCGCCAGCCAATCCAGAAACGATCTCCATGAGAGTTGCTTGGATGAGGAGGCTGATGGAGGGAGGAAAGCGAGGAAGAGCAGGAGGAGGATGAGGACGAGGAGGACGACGACGAGGAGGGGGACCAGGAGAAACGAGGACGACGACGAGGAGGACCAGGATGAGGACGACGAGGAGGACCAGGATGAGGGACCAGGAGGACGACGACGAGGAGGACCAGGATGAGGACCAGGAGAAACGAGGACGACGACGAGGACGGGGAGGTGTAGAAAGAAGGGGAAAGGAGGATGATGATGAGGAGGCGTATGCAGATCGTTTGTTGAGAGAGCCTCTTGAATGACTCTTGGGGGGCCGCTTGGGGCCCTCGTGACACTCTTTGGTGGGCCTCCTGGGGGTCTTGCGGCTCTTTGAGGAGGTCTTGCAGCGATCTTGGGCCCCATGGCTCAGGGAAGGGGCTCCCCACCGTTCAGGGGCCGAACAAAAATGCATGTTGGCATTTGGGGGGGCATCTTCGGGGCTTCTTGGGCCCTCTTGGAGCTGTCTGGGCTCCTCTTGGGGCTCTCTGGGGCCATCTGGGGCCACCTTGAGGCCTCAGAGGCCCATCGGAAGCGAAAAGGCGAGAATGCAAACAGCACTACTTGTCCGGAGGTTTGGACGATTTGGGCGTCTTCGGGGGGTCCTGGGGGGCATCCGAGACTGCTGCTTCAGAGCCTGTCGGCAAGAGTGCAAAATCATGGACCCAACTATGATGAAGCAACAAGAAAGAAAACGGGCACGGCTTCAAACAGGACAGCGCCCAGATGCTTGCCACGAGGTGCCAAAGCGCCACGCAACAGCTCAGACAGGCCCTGTGCCGCTTGCGACGCGAGTGCTGACTGGTCTCGGCATGACCCAGACCTACTTCTGCGGTGCGTGCGTCGTGCAGGTGCGACGCGCTCCGGAACCTTCTGGCAGAAGCTCCATGGCGGGCGCTTTCGGGCCACACCGCTTGGGCAACGATCTGCACCAGAACTTGTTGAAACTACAGTGAAAGCGTGCATTCAGGACGGGCGGTAAGGACTCCAGGAAATTGGGGGCCGAGGCTGGGAATCTGTGGGCGGCGGGCGACCAGCGAAGCCGGCAGAGGACGGGCCGCAGAGGCACGGACACAAGGGCACCCTGGATGAGAGCGCGCGCCCTCACCAGGCGCGTCGACTGCACAGGGTCGGCTCGGAGAGGTGCGCTTCCGAGGGGGGCGCGTGGCACGCACTACAGTGAGCGGCTTGAATAAGGAACACTTACTTTTCAAAAGGGGCTCGGTCGTTCCTTAGGTTTGCATGCGTTATTTACAGTTCCTTATGCGTTATTTGTTATTTTTCGTTCCTTATGCGTTATTCCTTGGGATAAAAAAGGGGCTTCGTTCCTTATTTATCGTTC